ACTGAATTATTGAATTCTTGGCCAACAGTTGTATAGCTCATATGCAAGCAAGGTTCCTCTAACACATTTATACATTTGTTTTTTTCCATAAAGACATCACACAGTCTTTTTTTTTTTTTTTTTGGTATTTTGAGTCAGGGTTTCTCTGTAGTATTGGTGCCTGTCCTGGAACTAGCTCTTAAAGACCAGGCTGGCCTCAAACTCACAAAGATCCACCTGCCTCTGTCTCCCGGTGTGTCTTCTTAGTCTTATCTTTGGAAATTGTTATCATTTTGCTGACCTTCCCTATCACCTGGGTACCCTGTCCCTTTAATAAACAAGTTCTTCCCATCCCTAATTAGGGCCTGCTTCCCTCCCAGGCAAGCTGATCTTGCCCTGTTCTCCTCCTCAGCTCTCTCTCTCTCTCTGCCTGTTGTCCCTCTTCTAAAGAAGTAACTACTGCCTCTCCCTCCCCTCTCTCCGTTTCCCCCTTCATCTCTCTCTCTATTTCTCTCTTCCTTCTATTCCATAATCCCCTATCCATATACTCTTTCCAGTAACCACTAAATAAACTCTATACCCAAGCTCTCTCCACATAGCATATCTGTATGTCTCCCACCCACCAGGGGACCCACCAGGGTCGCGGCCGCCCTGAATCTCTGAGAAATAATATAAGCACACTAGCACTATATTTGGGCCATTTTGTCTATTTGTTTTTGTGGTGCTGGGGACTGAAGCAAGAGCTGCACGTGCTAGGTAAATGCTCTGCCACCGAGTTACATGATAACAAGTGTGAACTGAATGCTTTCAAACAGTCATCACTGGGGACAAAAAACAGACACAGTTAGCATTAGAACAACTCCCAGAACTCACTTCACACATTTTACAATGGTGTGTATGATAAAATCAACTGTCCAGCACCCACATCAGGTGGCTCACAGTCATCCTCAACTCCAGCTCCTGAGTGTCTGACACTTCTTTCCCTCTTCTGGTCCCTACAAGCACCCGCGCATATGTGGTGCACATACATATACTTAGACATAGAATAAGATAATAAATCTTTTTATAAAGAGAAATTTTCATGTAAGATACAGTTTAGTGGAAGGTTCATTTAGGTTCAGTTCATAATCATTTTATTTTCTGAATATATGTTACACTTAATTTTTTTTTTCAGATAGGATCTCACTAATACAGTCCTGAGTTTAAAATCACAAGAACAGTTTTCAAATGATAGCCTTTGCTGGAGAGGTTGTGGAGAAAGGGGTACACTCATCCATTGCTGGTGGGAATGCAAACTTGTGCAACCACTTTGGAAAGCAGTGTGGCGGTTTCTCAGGAAATTCGGGACCAACCTACCCCTGGACCCAGCAATACCACTCTTGGGAATATACCCAAGAGATGCCCTATCATACAACAAAAGTATATGCTCTACTATGTTCATAGCAGCATTGTTTGTAATAGCCAGAACCTGGAAACAACCTAGATGCCCTTCAATGGAAGAATGGATGAAGAAAGTATGGAATATATACATATTAGAGTACTACTCAGCAGTAAAAAACAAGGACTTCTTGAATTTTGCATGCAAATGAATGGAAATAGAAAACACTATTCTGAGTGAGGTAAGCCAGACCCAAAAAGAGGAACATGGGATGTACTCACTCATATTTGGTTTCTAGCCATAAATAAAGGACATTGGACCTATAATTCGGGTTCTTAGAGAAGCTAAATAAGAAGGAGAACCCAAAGAAAA